TGCCCTCAACTCCCTTATTATGGAACAATTATATTCTCTCTACGGCTTTACATGCAAAGTATCAAAATCTTGGCCTTTTCCTCTTATACCAAAATTTTTATTATTCTTGGTTTCTTTATTCATTTATTTTTTTATTCATTTCATTTTCAATTTGTACTTTTTATATTTTACAAAATCCAAAACTAAATTGATAAAAGAGAAAAGAAGAACGTCACTACCAAGAAATAAATAAATAAACAATAGAGATATTATGATTATTTTTTTATTGCAATAGATATTAAATTATAATTATTTCATTATATGTATTGTATCAGATGTTTTTGTATTTTCATATTTTCTAATTTTTTAGAATAATATTTACCTATAAGTAAATAGTATATGTACTGATATAATTAAAAAGAGCTTTAATTATATCAAGAAACAATATAATGAGAAATATAAAATAAAATAAAAACAAAAAATAATTAACAAAAATACAATTTGTATAAAAATAATTAACAAAAACCTAAATTGTATAAGTTAATAATATATTACTATAAAAAGAAAAGTTAATACTTATCTTACTAAATGCAAAAAAGAGAAATATAATTCCTTCATTGTTTTCTATTTTGCATTTTTAGTTTTTAAATTTTTTTAAAAATAATACTCACTTATGAGTAAATAATATACGTACTAATATAAGTAAAACTAATTTAATGAATGATATGATTGGAAAGAGATAAAGGCAAAACTTCATAACATATGAGGAAGTATTTGGGCTTTAGTTCTAGACATAAATAAACATAATGCCTTAAATTAGAATAAGAGATGGATATTCATATTTCCCTTTTCAATATACTATTTCTCAATTATTTCTATCACATGAGATCTACAAAGTAGATTCATCTCCTCACTCTACAATTATGTTAAGATGGAAACTCTCTCTTCCTCTCTAAGATAAACAATTATTTTTACAATTAACAATTAATTTCATGTGCAACACATGTATATATCACAAATCAAGGTTAAACAACCATAATTCTAGCAATTTTCAAGTCACAAAGCTTCCCAAATCAATCTCTCAAGCAAAAGCATCCAAGCAAGGTGAAGGAGAGTACAAGAGTAGCCTGATCTAAGCCTGAAACTCATGGTTTCGAGTCCCAGCAAAGTCATACATTATTATCCTTTATTTATTTATATTTTCCTTTATTTATTTTGGATTTTAGAGTTATAATTTAGGTTTTAGGCTTTTAAGGATTTAATTGGTGCCAGATTTCAGCTGGCTCTGCCAACATATTTAAAAAGGATAAGATCCCTCAGATCTGTATCAATTTTGGATTCCGTAATTTGGCCGGCCCCACTTTCTCTATAGATCTACAAAATTTAACTCGTTTTGTATAAATTTGAGTTGATCTCATATGAGATTGACACATACTCGCGCATAGACAATGTTAAAGATCTTAAGTGGTGGCAAATTGGGAATAAATAAAACAATGAACACAAAGGTACATGGGTAATGTACAAAAATGTTGGGGGAGTTTTAATAATGGTAAATATGGGGATTTATGGATGAATTTCTCTAACTATAAATACAAGGAAAAGGCTTATATACAGCGAGGCTCTAAACAATCAAATTAATGTGCACCTCAAAAGTTCAAGTTGTTTCAATGCCCAAAACTCCTCAAATTGTTCATCTCAACCTCAAGATGTATGGTCATGAAAAAAAAAAAAAAGATTTAAAGTCTTGGAAATGGTGCATCTTGTAATGCATTTTTTGGACTATCAAATTTCAAGATGTTTAAGTGTTCATAGATCTGCTCGGTCTACACTAGTTTTTAAGGATTAAAGATGCAAATAAATTTTCAGGCACAACGATTTTCAATATTGAAACAAGTTTTTTCGATATTATTTAAAGGCACACCTTACTTTGATGGTTTAGGGTCTCGGTCGTATACAAACCACCCTCCTTGAAATAGTGTCGAGAAATGTGGTTTCAATACTGATTGGGAGTATGACTTTCCTTTAGCCAACTTGAACTCGATGGGAGGATTTTCATCTGACCACACAACCATTCTTCTTCAAACAAAGAATGGGTGTCCTGGGGCCACAAACCTTTTAGAATGAATGTTGTTTGGCTTCAGGATAATGAGGTGATTGATTTAGTGAATAATATGTAGATTAGTATAACTGTGAGAGGTTGGCTAGGTTATAGAATTTTCAAGAAATTGATGATTGTGAAGCAAAGACTTTTACAATGGAAAGGGGATAATAATTTATATATCAAATCCAAAATAGATGAAACATGGGCTAGAATTCAGGATATAAATATGTCTGTTGATATGTTCGGAGCTTTATCGGTTGAGTTGAGGGCGAGAGGGCAAATCTTGTTAATGTAATACAAATGGATGAAATATATTGGAGGCAGAGTTCCAAGGTGAAGTGGCTAAAGGAAGGCGATCTGAATACTAAAAATTTTTCACTCCTTTGCAAATGCTAGACGTCGTCAAAATGATATCTCATGGATCATCTTTCAAAGGTTGCTGAAAATGATCCTGATGAGTGGGAATTGGAATTTGTGAAGCATTTCCAAAAAGGCCTTTTCTAATGAACTTTCTTTTAGGGTTCACTATGAGGGAGTACCTTACTCAATCCCAAGCTTTATATTTGAAGAGAGGGATGGCAATGGATGAGTTGCAAAGAGCAGTCTTTGCATTACAAGATGATATGGAGCCGGGTCCTGATGGTTTGCCTTTGTTGTTTTTCCATCGGTTTTGGTCTTTATTGAAAGATGAATTATTGTTTATAGTGAATGAGTTTTTGGTGAGGAGATGTTTGAATAAATGTAGTAATTCAACCTATATTGCTTAAATTCCCAAAACTTCGACAATACGAGAAATAAATGATATTAGACTAATAAGCTTGTTGCCTAATCTCGATAAGATCGTCTCAAAAGTCCTTACGAAAAGGTTGAAAATGGTGCTTCATCTCCTTATTTCAGGGTTTCAGTCAGCGTTTTATTAGTGGTAGGATGATTCTGGATGGGATTTTGATTGCTCAAGAATGTATACATGGCAGACCAAATAATGGTATTTTGGGTACTCTTATTATGTTTGATATGGAAAAAAGCTTACGATCGTGTGGAATGGAAAGTCCTTGATGAAATTCTTTTTAGAATAGGTAGTCCTTGGGGGTTTTTTAAAGCTTCAAGGGGAGTCAGGCAACGAGACCCTTTATTCCCTTTCCTATTTACCTTATTAGGAGTAGCCTTTAGTTTGATATAAAACAATGTGGTATATAATCAAGGTTTTCAAAGATTTCAAGTTAATTCCTTTGCTCCATGGATCTCACATCTTCAATATGCGGATAATACCTTATTATTTTGTGGAGCTGAGGTGGACTAAAATTTGAAAGTTAGAAGATTTCTTAGATGTTGTGAGGTTAATGTAGGAATGCAAGTTAATTTTGGAAAAACATTGGTTATTGGAGTGGGTTGCCAAGAATCTATTATATCCTTTTCGTCAGAACTAATGGAGTGCATGATTGAAAAGTTCCATATAAAATATTTAGGGATGTCGATTTCTGTTTCGGAGACTTCCTAAGGAAGTTTGGGATCTAGTGGTGCAAAGAGCCAATTTCAAGTTGGATACATGGAAGGCAAAACATTTATCTTTAGGGAGTAGAATTACTTTGATCAGGTATTTTCAATCAAATCTGCCTATATATCCCATGTCTTTATTGATTATGCCAACATATATCATTAAGAAATTGGGAAGACTCATGAGGAATTTTGTGTGGGGGTTTGGTCAAGAATTTAAAAAGTATCATTTGGTGAGTTGGGATAGAGTATGCCCGACAAAATGATAATGTGATTAGGCATTTGTAAGCTTTAATTGGTTAATCAGACTTTGATATGTAAATAGTGGTGGAGATCTTTACAAAGTGATGATTACTTATAGATAGACAAACTTTCGGCAAAATATGGTGTCGATTCTTTGAATCTTTGTATAACTTGGGCCACTAGGGATTCTCAACTGTCCTATGTTTGGAAATTGATCGCTTCTATGAAATCTTGTTATTACACATACAAGGTGGTCTTTGGGTAATGGGGACCATATTCTTTTTTGGCATTCTAAATGGGCATATGAAATTCCTCTTAAATTTATGTTTCCAGACCATTTCCAGTGTATTTCTCAGCCTTTGGCTTAGGTTTCTGACATTGGTGTTAACAATGCCCTACAATGGTATAATAGTATTCCTCTGATCATTGAAAGAGATTCCTTCAATATTATCAACTGGTGTAGTAATTCATCTAGACCTCTGTGTAGTAATTCATCTAAACCTCTGTGGCGTATGAGATCTATGTGGCTGAAAGTAATGGAGTTTGCGAATCTCCTTTTACTTACTTTCAACCACGTTTATAGAGAGGCGAACTCGGTTACTGACAAATTGGCTAAGAAGGGTGTTGTTGGCTAAGAAGGGTGTTGGTTTAGATTCGTTATTGGTGTCGGATTCCTTATTGTGATATGTTTTGTTTGTGATCAGTCTTTGAATCAATAAAATAACTTACTCTTGTTAAAAAAAATGTGGTTTCAATACTGGAAATTTTTGTGATAGCTTTAAAATATATTTTCACCTCTAATTATAAACTTAAAGTTTCAAAAATAGTGTAGGTCGAATAGATTTATGAAAACTTGAAAATCTTGAAATGGACGGTCAAAAAACGCATTACAAGATGTACTATTTCCAAAACTTGAAATCTATTTTTTTCTCATATACATGTATCTTGATGTCGATATGATCAATGTGATGATATTTAGGCATGAAAACAGCCTATTTTTGAGGTGGGCTATATAAACTTTTTCCTTTAATTGAACGTAAAATTTTAGATCAAAAAATATTTCCATTACATTTGTTTCCCGAGTGAACAAATGAACAACTTGCTCCTACGGGCGCATAGTATACGCCATTAACAGACCCAAGTTTTCTCTGAGCGCATCGCGCGAAATGAAAAGCAGTAGAACAAGCGTGCCTGCAAACTTTCTCCACTCTATTTCTATTCCCCTCCGCTGTATGCTTTATTAGAAGTGGCTCTGGCATCTCCTCTCCGCTGATCAGAAATGGAAGCAGCAGCAACAAACCCTAGAACCGCCAAACTTCCTCCCCGACAGAATTCGAGGGCAGCGTTGCAGGACCTCTTCAACCTTTACCTTGGGGTACTACGCATTCTTCTATATCTTATTCTCTGTTTTTTCTGAATTTTATGTATCTCTCTTTCACTATCCCACATGTCTTCCCTGAATACATGAATCAAAGTATCTGGTTTCTCTTTCTGATGGAGTTTCTCTGCTTGCTGTTTCAGAGGAGTTATAGAAACAAAGGAGATGACGAAGCTCCAAGAGAAACCCCGTATTTCTCTATTCCTTTCTCTATGTCTTTAATTTCTTTTTTCCTTCTCTCTATTCTTTGCATAAATGATGAGAAAAATACTATTTATTAATATTAACTTTGAATGTTGGGGATGATTCAATCTTTTGGTTTTCAAGGCGTTTGCGTTATAAAATTATGTAAATGGCTGCAAATGCTTTTTGCAGAATTTGACATCACCATTGATTTCTATGGACTTAAAAGTAAGCTTTTATTTTTTAGCTTGATGTGTCTAATATTCAAATATGGGCGTGACTACCTTTGGAATGATGGATCCTTTTTCGCCATTACATCGGCTGGACAAATCCTGTTTTTCCTTTTTTCTCTATCAAGGACCATAACATTAGTTATACCATAACCTTAGTTATACTCTAAATGACTATATCTCTTCTCCCTGCTTGCACTTCCATCCATATTCTTTTGGGCCTTTTTTTTATCCTTTTAGAGCCTTCTACTTGATCCAATATACCCTTCCTAACTGGCGCTATTCTAGGTTGACCATTCACATGACCATACCACTTAAGTCTACTTCCTTTCATATTATCACTTATGGGAGCTGCCTTAAGTTCTCTCGGATGTATTTATTGTGAATTCTATCCTTTCTTGTTTTGTCACTCAATGGATGTGTTGTTTCTTGACTGCCCAACATTCCATCCCATAAAGCATGGTTGATGTTACAACTATTTTATGGAAGTTCTCCTTTAATTTCATTGGTATGCGACAATCACATAAGACTCCAAACTATATCTCTATTTCATCCACCCAACTCTAATTCTGTGCACGACATCTTCTTCAATATCTCAATTCTTATGGATTATTGACTGAAAGCAATGAAAATAATCTCTTTTAGGTACTTCTTGGCCATCAATCTCAGCCAATTCCTCATTTTAATTCCTATTGTAGCTAAACTTGCATTTTATATATTTTGTCTTAGTCTGGTTAATTTTAAGACCTTTAAATTCTAGAGAACGTTCTAACTTTGCATCGATGCCATCTCTAGTCTCAACAATCAAAGCTTTGTTATTTGCAAATAACATACTCCATGGTACCCCATTTTTTTCTTATATTGGTTAGTGCTCCCTCATACATATCCATCACCATGTCATTATGTCCTTTATAGACTCATTTCTTTTCTAACATCCACCAAATCAACTCTCTACGTATTCTTTCGTATGCTTCTAAATCAATATAGACCATGTGAAGATATTTTCTCTTCTCCTTAAACTTCTCAATCAATTGCTTAAGTAGGAAAATAGCTTCCATGGTTGAGCTCCCTGACATAAAATCGAACTGATTTTTTGATACACTCATTTCATGTCGTATTCATTGCTCAGTCACTCTCTCCAACAAGTTCTTAGTGTGATGATTAGTTTGATCCCCCTAGAGTTTGTAGAATTCTGTAGGTCTCCCTTGTTCTTGAAAATGAGTACTTTTCTCCATTTGTTTGGCATTTTTTTTGTTCCCAATATCTTGTTGAATAACTTGGTTAACTAGAAAATTCCAACCTCTCCCATGCACTTCCAAACTTTGTTGGTAATACCATCTAGTTCTAAAGCCATCCCTATTTTCATTTTTCTCAAAGCTTCTTTCACTTTAGATATCCTATCCTACGAATGTTGCTATGGCCTCTGAACTCATTTATATCAAAAGTTCCTCCTAACCCTGTGCTTCCCATTGACCTCATTGTCCTTCACCAAGACCCCTCTGATCTTCACTCTTAATGCATTTAACATGATCAAGATCCTTACACTTCCTATCTCGCTCATTTTTGCAAGTTTGAGAACATCTTTTTCACCTTCTCTTGTCCTCAATTTATCATTAAGATCAACATAGGCCTTAAGCTTTGCCTTACTTACCATGTTAGCATTCTTCTTGGCATTTTTATTTTTTTTCTAAGTTTTCATCATTTTTTTTCTATTGCCAAGCTTTGTAACATGATCATTTTTTGCTAATAGCCTTTTGAACTTCATGACTCCACCACCAAGTTTCCGTATCTGATTTTCTTTTCCCTTTAGATTTTCTTAAAACATCTTTTACCACTTTCTTAATAAGATTTACCATCCCATTCCACATAATATTAGCTTCGTCCTTGGAATTCCATTTTGTCCTTCTTTTTTAACAATTCATTCGTAAATAAGTCTATTTTCTCCCTTTTAAATTTCACCACCTAGTTCTTTGACTATTAATTACCCTCATTCTCTTCCATCTTCTTGGAAACCCTTTCAGTCTTTAGATGATGGTCGTTTTGCCTTAACTAGAAAAAAGTCTATTTTGCTTTTATATAAGAATGAAGTTTCTATAAGGCTTAGCTTTATGCAAACAAAATAAAGCCTCATCTCAAATCCTCGTATAGAAAGAACTTCCGACAACAGAAATCTCCATGATAGCTTTAAAGTCAATTTACAACACCGACAATGAAATTTGAAATCAAGAAATGGTACAGATGATCGATCTTGCGGTTCTTTGGAGACTTAATTTTAGGTTGAAAGTAGACGGTGTAGATAATTTGTTACAATATACACTATTTTTAGAGCTAGAAATCCTAATTTCTTTTCACAACCATAATGTTCAATCCAAGATGATCGATGTAAAAGTTTTCCAATTCTTGAAATGCAATTTTTCAATGAGTTATGAGGTGAGGCTTTACTTATTTTGATAAGGCTGCAGCCCTATCAAACCATTTTTCTTCATTTTTGTAAGTTATTAAATGTTCATCTTGCTTTTAAATGTGGGCATAAGCCGTAACAAAATCAAGAATCACATCAGCCATCTTATTTCTTCCCCCAAATATATATTCTCCATTTACCTTTCATACCGTCTACTATCTTTTCGTGCATGACCATTTAAGTCCCCTGCTGAGAAGGTCGTCTTTCCATTTGGTATTCCTTGGACTAGTCTATTTATGTCCTTTCATAATTGTCCTTTAATTTCATCCTCTAGTCCCACCTGTTGTGCATAGGCACAAATTGCATTATCTCCTCCCTTAACACAAGTTTAATCAATAGGTGCCTATCACCAACTCTCTTAACATCTACTACTTTATGATTTAAATTTTTGTGTACTATTATGCCTATGCCATTTCTATTGATATATTTTCCTATCTACCAAAGTTTATATACATCAATTTCCTTAGCTTTTACTACTTTTCAACTAGTTTCTTGTAAGCAAGCTATGTTAACTTTCATTTATCTCATTGTATCCACGAACTTCGAATTCTTACTTCTTAGAGTTCTTACATTGTATTTGACTAAACGAATCCTATTCTCTTGGACTAGCTTCTTTACCTGCGTTCATTTGAAATGACACAGAACCCTTGCCTACTTATCAATGCAATTGGGAGTTGTTGTGACCGTTGTTTCCAAGGAATGTCCTAGCTAACCTTTGCTCATTTCTCATTGCACCCGGGTGCTAGTACAACACGTGGCTTATAGGGAACGGCCTAGCATGAGGATATTATGACCTTTCTATGTTTAATTATTAAGAAAATTATAGTTACTGATATTAAAAAAAGAAAAACGAAAAAGTCATTCAGGTCGTAGTTCATGTGCACGTAAATATTCTAGCCTTTTCATTTCATTGCTTTAACTTCTCCTACATTTCGGTCTAGTTTAGGATATCTGATTTGGCTTTGCTAATTCGTTCATTCAATTGTGCTTTGGTTGCAACTTTGATATATACTAGGAGAATTACTTATCAAAAAACTTTTGATATAGAATAGGAGAATTTTGTAGGATATGCAATAAATGCGTCTTTCCCTTCGTGATTGGGGTAACAGTTTATTTGGGTTCACAAATATGTGATTGACATGAAAATTGCTTTTTATTCAAACCTCAGTAAGGCCTCCCTTCTACGAATAGGTTGTTAATTTTGCAACATATTAATTGTTTCTTTTCTCCAAGAGGTGGAGTAAACTTGGATGCATACATGTCCAGGGGCTTGATGCACAATGCCTCCTAGCTATTGTTGTCTTCATTTTTGTCCACATGAAGTTGTAGGCCATTCCTGGCCTCTAATTGTAGGGGGAGTATGGACTTTAAGGAACCTACCATCCATGTTTGTGGTTATTGCTCATTTAAATTTTAATTTTCCCTACTCATTTTTCTTTTGTATTTGTAGTTGTTGCTTGGTAATAAAGAAACAACCTATTTACCAAGGTTTTAAAAAATGGATCGGTGAACCGGATCAGCCACCCCAGAAACCGTGTCGAATCAGTGGATCGGTGACCTGAATTGGAGAATCTGCAGGTCTCAGCCTAAAACAAAATTTTAAAAATTACAATAATTTCTCAAAAATCTAGTTTTTTTGGTTTTTTTAAAAAATAGTGGCAATTGCATTATGGTTGTTCATTATTTTATTTGAAGTATGTAAATACTGAGAATCTATCTTATGTTGAGTGTTTGTTGTCTATTAAATTCATTTTATAGTCAAAATGAAATTTAAAATGCAGCTCATGACAATAAAATGAATCTCTCTAACTCAATTTATATTTTATATTTGTATTAACTTAAGAGTTTTGACT